GCAATGTCTACAAATGCACACGCATGTACACACGTATGAAAATAAAGTAAAAGTAGGGGATCCTTTTCCATGCATTAAGGCGCATTGAACATATATTCATAGACTTATATAATTATATTTATTTCTGCACTGCAATTTGGTGTTACCATTCGGTTGGAGCAAACAAGACAAGACGAAGGAAGGATCATGCTGCGTGGGCAACACCTGGTCTCTACAATACTGCCCAGGCGCTGTGCTATGCAGAGGAGGAGCTTCACCCATGCCGCCATACAGCACAACATAACATTATCCTCCGGAAAGTCGGAAATTCGATCAGACAATACGATCTGCCTCTCATTGTACGGGTCCAATCATGAGCAGCAGTCAGAGAAGCTGGTGAATAATGATACCACACATACACGCGTGCGCACACACACAGCCATAAACACACATACACGCGTGCGCGCACACACACAGCCATAAACACACATACACGCGTGCGCGCACACACACAGCCATAAACACACATACACGAGTGCGCGCACACACACAGCCATAAACACATCAACAGGCGCGTGCACACACACAGCCATAAACACACATACGCGCGTGCGCGCACACACACAACCATAAAAACATGTACAACCGGGACATTCAGTTGATTTTGTTATATGCCAAACTATGTCACAGAAAGAGAATAGCAGGATGGTAAGGAGTGAGAGAGCGTCGACAAGGAGAACGAACGAACGAACGAACGAACGAACGAACGAACGAACGAACACGCTTTATAAGAATGCTAGAGAGAAAGGAAGAGAAGAAGGACATGCAGAAGGCAGGTGAGACAAAGGAGAGACACAAAAAAGAGATGATGAAAAAGAAGAAGCAGCAGCAGAAGAAGAAAAAGAAGAAAAAGGAAAAGATGAAGAAAAAGAAGAAGAATGTTTGGCCCAATAGGGCTGAAGGGAAAAGAGGCATTAAGATGAGAGAAATGGGGAGAAGAGACACAGTGAAAGGGGAAAAGACGGGGCATAGAACAAGAACGCACTTAAAGTGTGCAGAAATTATAAAACAGAACCGAAACTAGGACAGGGAGTTGATGATGTCTTTGACAGACTACTTCAGCTTCTCTATCCCCAAGGATATTCTCCTAAGCAGCAGTCACGCAAGGTTTGCGACAGGCTGGTCTTCGGCAGAGCCTGGCGGTCTCGCTATGGGGACCTCCCTGAAGGGGCAGATAACAAGTTTGTAAATGAACGAATTATCTGCCGACAGTGACAATGACTTGTGAGAATACACCAGAGATGGGTCCCTGTGTCCACTGGCTGGATCCTGGGTTACACTAGACTCCACTTCTTTGCGTGCTGTCAAAAGTTATCTTCGTGTCCAGTCCAGTCAGGGAACGCAATATGCGAGGGCTGTTTTGGTTTGTTAATCATTGTTCTGTTAGCTGGAGAAATTAGTGATGATTAATTCTGCAATGGCCTGTTTGCATGTCTTATGGGAGGACAAGCGACCAGCTGTATTACACAAGGAACAGGACAAGTCTTTAGGGCATCAATGAAACCATATGAATACATTTAACGGTTATCAGCAGCTGATCAGCCTACAGAGAATCGATTAGGTGGTTAGTCGTGAAAGTGAACCTGTCTATTCAGCGAATAGCGATGATGTTTGAAGAGAAGGAGTTTTATATTGGTGGGCATACGTTTTCGGAATGGTATTTTGTTACACACATTTTTGTGTGTCTTATCATGGTCGCTCTTTGTGCTCTAGAATCACTGAAAGGAATAGACTACGACTGGCTGAAACATGCGCACTGCTCGTCTGCCGGTACTCGGCTTCAAATCACCACTTTTGACACAGGAAAAGATGAGTTTGTCTACCAAGGCACTTAACCTCTACACACCGGGTCACGACGGGGTAAAGGGAAAAGCGAGCGGACCAACTGGCAAGCACTGCACAAATGGCGGGAAAAAGCATGGACAGAGCAGATATCGTCATCACTGTACGGACTGGCCTAGTGGATAATAAGGAATCCCTGACACTGGCACGATTACGTGACACGGGAGTAAAGCATGGTGAAGCACGTCTATGCCGTCTTCGAGGCCGAGATAGGAGACAATATAACCAGCTTCTCACGGGAACAATTAGTAGAAGTACTGTGGAGTGGCTGCTGCATCGGAGGACTGAGCACGCATGGGAATGCCCAATGTGCAGTGACGTCGATATTGATAAAATATAACATCTTGTAGGGAGTCGGCAGACCGAAACCCAAGTTCAATGTGTCTCCTTCGTGCCAAAGAACTGCATGGCTGTTGGGTGAACAGTCGTTAACGAAGGCAGTCAGGTCGTTTGTAGGGGCGACGCTTGCTAGTGGATGTAATGTCCTAAGTCCCTTCCCCAGCTAATAATGAGGGTACTGCTGGGGTGACCATTTATTAACCCTCACATAATGCTTCAGGTCAAAATAGACTCTAGGCACGGCCACTTTTTTTTTTAGCCGTGTCAATTTTTTTTCCTTTGCCAGACGGTGCCCGTTGCACTTTTGCTCCATTTGTAGACTGGGAGGATATAGTTTCGTTGCCCAGCTTCTGAGTTGAGTGCATGGCGTAACACTGTGAGCTGCGGATTTCAGTTGAATTGTGATAAACATTTTGTGTGTTTTTCGTTGGCACAGGAGCGGAGCAACTATGGGGCGATCCGTTTGTTATGAAGCTGAAACTAAGATTACCAGATTACCAAGGCACGTGTAAAAAGAACTGTACTCTTGCCTGCTATCTGCTACCAGTGTCAGACCTAGAGCCTTACTACAATTGATTATAACAGAGGTGAGATGTCTTTTAAGAGCTTACTGGAATAGCAGGAAGAGGTAACATAAAAAAAAAAAAAATTAAGAAATAGTTTAAAAAAAATCTAAAAGCAGTCATACAATTCATTAAAGCCCCAAAACGAGAGTCTTTAATGCCCTAGTATCAGCTACCACAGAGAAACACGGTGAAGAAATATAATGAACACATAGAAAAGGAAGGATGGTGCAAAGCAAGTATCAAGGAAAGGTGCCACTGGTCACTCCAAGAAAAGTACTGCTGATATGGTGCTAGCTCCGAGTTGTTTTATAATTCGGCACTCGAACATGACAACATCATGACCGAAGCCTTTACTTCCCATAAAGTTTCCTAGTACAGAGTTTAGGACTAAGATTAAGCTCGGTGCTTGCAGTACAGGCTCTGGGTTCACTCCTTAACGAAGGAGAATGTTTTAACCTCCAATGATACTGTCACAACTGTTTGTATTTACCACATTTTAGGACAGTGTTTAAAAAAAAGGGGGGGGGGATCATGAGCCTGATGTACAGATTTAAGGCGGCATTGTTGGTGGAATGTACGGGCTAGAATGTTTAATGTTGCCTCCCCCTTCCTCCACTAGATAAACCCTATCATCTTACTGGGGATTGAACCCGGGTCTCCGGCATGAGAGTCTGACGTTGTAACCGTTCTGTCAGCCGCTCCTCTCGAATGCAACCGATTTTGGGATAGACAACCTTGAAAACTGGCACCAAGGGTCCCTTCTAGGTGGCAAAATAATATGAAAACAACTATACCTATATTATCTAGTATTTAAGAAGGCAAGTCTCTATCAGTCAAAAACAACGCCTGGCATGTTGCCCTACTTCTGTGTGTGACATAAACATCGCGTTATAAAACTTCGCACTTCTTGTACTTGGTCAGAACATACTTTCATTTCTGGCTCTTCTATGTGTGGCCCAAGCATCGCGTTATGAGACTTCGTACTTCTTGTACTTGGTCAAAACATGCTTTCAAATCTAGCTCCTCTATGTGTGGCACAAACATCGCGTTATAAAAGTTCGTAATTCTTGTTCTTCATCAGAACATACTTTCAAATCTAGCTACTCTATGTGTGGCCCAAACATCGCGTTATGAGACTTCGTACTTCATGTACTTGGTCAGAACATACTTAAAAATCTGGCTCTTTTTCTACGTGTGACTCTAATATCGCCTCGGCCTTCAGTCAAATTTCTAGGGGCTCAATTAGTATTCTTGAAGTGCATAATGATAACAATATTATAATGCACCTAAAGGCAAATTAAAATGATACACAATCTTCTTCTTCTGCCTTTCTATCCTTCAATGGAGCATAGGCCATCAACCAACTCACGCCAAGTCGTTCTATCCTTCGCTATTACATGGAGCTCTCCACATCTTTCTAACTTCATTCTCTAGCTCTCGTCTCCATGTGTTTTTGAGCCTTCCTTTATTCCTTTGCCCCTGTGGGTTCCAATGCAAAGAAATTCTAGTTATGCTGTTCTCCTGTTTTCTCGTTGTGCGTCCTATCCAATGCCAGCATCTTTTCCTCACCTCTTGGTCCACTGGAGCTTGCTTAGTTCTCTCCGAAAACTACATTAGTTATTCTATCATACCATTTAATTCCCTCTATTCTGCGCAGGCACCAGTTGATGAATGTCTAATTTATTAGTAATTGCCTTAGTTGTTCATGTTTCCGCCCCATACAAAAGTACTGATTTCACATGAGAATTAAAAATTTTAAGTTTAGAATTTCTTTTAATTTCCTTTGACCGCCACAAATTCCCTAGTGCCATAAAAGCTCCTCTTGATTTTTGTATTCTTTTTTAAATATCTCTATTAGTTTCTCCATCTTTATCTACATTACTGCCAAAATAGGTGTACGACTCCACGTCTTGGAGTGGGGTGCCATTTAGATAAACCACATTACTATTTGCCTGATTTATTATGATACGCAGTATTTAAAAAAATATGGAACGAATAAACAAATACATGAAAGATCATTTCTATGCATGTTTTAGGGTGGGGGTGGTAGGGGCGCTTGGATTTTCCCAAATCGATTGGGACCCTGACCCCCCCCCCCTCCCCCGCACCCCGTTTTCCGCTTCGTAAATATTTTTTTCGTAAAGGTGTCTGAGCTCCCAGATTATAACGACCTGACGACCAAATCTGCAAGAAAGCCAACTTTTGCCTGCTCACCTGAACACGTGACTCGGTGAGACCAATCCTCAGTGCCAGTTCCTCCCTCATGAAAATGTCCGGGTAATGAGTTTTGGTGAAACTGTGCTCCAGCTCGTTGAGTTGTCCGGGCGTGAAGCGTGTTCGGTGACGCTTCTGTTTCATGAGTTTGTCCACGTCACTGGAAGACACGGAATTCTGGGAAGATATGTTTCCGGAAACCATATTGCTGAAGTCATCCTGGCATTTCTTCAGATCTGAAGGAAGAGCCAACAACATGATATCAAAACAAAGGCTACTGTAATTGTTTCATATTTACTTTCTGACTTTCGAGGCGTTCAAACGCAACAGGTGAAAAGCACTTCAATATTATAGACCAAACATTATCTTAGAAATGGCCAGGAATTCAAACGCAGTGACACTGGTTCCAAAGCTGATATAATCTTTAAAGGGTGCGGTAATGGGTTTGGGCATATTAATTTTTTTATTTAAAAGCTAATAACTGTTTATGTAGTGCCGGTTCGAAAGGCACTGGTGTATCTTTGTGGTTCGAGTGAAGGGACTGGTCAGTGGGGGCTGAAGAATGAGAAAATTAACAAATAATTCATTACCATTCCCGCCCAGGCGATGTATTATCTGTACAGATGGCTCTACGTTGATAGGCAGAAGAATTGCACAGAGGTCCATAGCACAATCAAGTGGACGTTCCTTAGTGCAACGAAAGCCTAGCATACGATGCTACAACGTCTAGTTTGCAAATGGAGGTGGAGGCGGTCACTTTCAGCCTTCCGCTGGCTTGAGAATCAGCCGCAATCACATGTTGTTATTGTAACTGACTCACAGAGCATGTCGAGAAAGTTGGAGATAAGTATACTAAGTGCAGAGCGGCAAGCTCAATTAAGTGGCCCCGGCTGGTTAGGGTCCTATGGGTATTTTCTCCAGGAAATGAACAGGCAGATAGATTGGCTGATTCTGTGGCGCTTGGTGGTAAACCGGTGCATGACAAACTAAATCCTAGCCCTTATGGACTGATAGGCTCTGATTGTAATAAGGATGATCTGTCCACTAGCTAGCTAGCCAACCAGCCAGCCAACTAACCAACTAACTGACTGACCAACTTACTGACAGATTGACTGATTGACCAACTAAATAATCAACTGATTATCTGACTACCTAGCTGACTAAGCGACTGACTAACCGAAGGACTGACTGAATGAGCGACTAACCAACCAACCAGCCAATTAGCTAATTAACTGACTGACTGATTAACTGACTGACTGACTGACTAACTGACTGGCTGACTGACTGACTAACTGACATGCTGACTGACTAGCTAATTAACCAACTAATCCACTAGATAATTAACTGACTACCTGACTGACTGACTGACTGATTGATTAACTAACCAGCTAGATAATTAACTAAGTGATTGACTACCTGGCTGACTGACTGAGCGATTGACTAACCGAAGGACTGACTGACTGAGCGACTAACCAACCAACCAACTAACTTACTAGCTAACTATCTAACAAATTAACCAACTGATTGACTGACTGTTTGACTTAGTAATTAACTGACTGACTGACCGACTGACTGACTAATTGACTGACCGGCTGACTAACTGACTGAATGACTGACCAACCAACGAACTGATTGACTGATTGACCGACTGGCTGACTGAAGGACCGACTGGCTGACTGACTGGAAGACCGAGTGGCTGACTGACTGAAGGACCGAGTGGCTGACTGACTAAAGGACGGACTGGCTGACTGACTAAAGGACCGACTGGCTGACTGACTAAAGGACTGACTAGTTGACTGACTGAAGGACGGACTGGTTGACTGACTGAATGACGGACTGGCTGACTGACTGAAGAACTGACTGACTGACTGACCCAAAGGGGCGCAACTCACAGATTGAGAACCGCATTAAAACAGCTTCTCTCATGTTTAGATCCTGACAAATATTTGGCTTGTATTGTATCAACTCACTTTCAGAGAAAATAATAATAATGCACCAGGTGCGCACGCCCGATTAAGGTTGGCATATTGCACATGACTATAAGAGAAAACTTTGATCTTAGTTAGGACAACATTGCCTGTATAAATACTAAATAAATAAAGAGTTAGTTTAGTAGCATTAGTGGCTAAATCGCTGCGAACGCTTCGTAATGCCGGGGTGTCGGGTTCGATCCCAGCTGCGGGTCGTGCACCTTGCGTTGGTTTCGACAGTGGTATCAAGAAAGACGACCGTGGAGAAAGAAATGGCAAACTACTGGACGTAAATTTGCCCAGAGAAACCACACAACAGCCAGGGGCTGCTGGGGTTGGCTCTGCAACGTCCTGTAAAGGAAACGCAACTAACCTAAGTAGCATTTACATGTTGCTGTAGACAGAACCAGCCAGACCTAATGAAAGAGGTTCACGGTTCAAGGATCCACGAAGCTGACGAAGGAGAAAATGTTTACAAAACCATATTAATAACAAGAAAAACACTATAGGGTATGTGCTCAATACTTTATACTTTGTGTGTATAGTAAAACGGCTTTGCATCCATGTATCTTCTTCTTCTTTTTTCGTTTCAATGATGCAAGGTTGTAGTCTACTGTCGGGGCTCTCTGTACTTGTCTTACGCTTTTTAGGTGGCTTGAGTGATGGATTTGTTCATCTTTTTCGCTGGTTTCATCTACACCATTTATCCATATCTTTCTTGGTCTTCCTCTTGCCTTCCTCCCAGATGTTCTACTGTAAAAAGTCTCCTATGCAGTTTGGTCTGGCTGTATTCTCACGAGATGGCAGAACCATTTCATTCTTTGCCTGTCAATGTAATGTACATATGGTTTTTTTCCAACTTTCGCTCTAATGCTTGTGTTCGTAACCCTGTCTCTTCTTGTGTTGTTAGGGACCTTGCAAAGACAGCGCATTTCACATTTAATTACTTTATGTTCTATTGTCCCATTCGTTGTCCATGTTTGGCACTCATTACATAAAGTCGGAATAAAGGGATAAATTGCTGTTAATCATTTGCGGTTTTGCTGGGGGGGGGTGGGGGGGGGGGGGGGGGGGGGTATTTGGGTGTCTGAGCAGTGGGGCTAACTGGTAGGTGACAGCATGTGCCTTCTTTACTCTGGTTTCTATCTTCTATCTGTGTGTGACATATTTAATGTTTTATTTCTATATTGAAGTTGGTGTCAAATTAAAAGGTTTCAATTTCTCTTTAATGCAGTAGTTACATTTTTGTTTTAGGCTGGTTAGTTTTTAAGACATTCAGTTTCACAACGCTTAGGCCATAGAAGAATGCCTCATCAATAAAATCATGTATGGGTTCCGGGGTTCCACTTTGGTGGCGGGGTAGGGAAGGGAGTTGGAAGTAACTGACCCATTGTCCCTAGGTGACTAATGACAACTTTTCTGAAATCTATTGTTTTGGGCCGAAAGACTGAAAATTAGCAGTCAAGCTGTAACCTAAAACACAACATACCCGTTGCCTTTGTAAGGACGAAAGCACCAGCAGAAGAAACGATAGCATTCATAAAAGACGTTGAGGAACTATTTCGTTTACTCTGTCTACTGAATCTGGACAGTGAGTAATTTGATGCCCCGGTCAAGAGACAGTCTACATCAGTGCTCCTCCAACTGTTTACATCCGCCGCCCACCAAAACGGGAAATTCTTTCCCGGCCCCCTGAAACACTCGTTTTTTGTGTCCACCTGCTCTTGACACATCAAAGACCACGGCTCGAAGAACGCTGATCTTCACAAATCTCACACCCATAGACTTAATCTCCTTTCGTGGCTTAAACAAACTGAACGCCAAAAATTGGACGTCAGTGTTAAAACTAACTTTTCTAGGAGATTTGCTACTCAACCAGCCAGCTAGCGAAACAAAAAGCTTGTAACCCAAGAAACGCAACAAACATGTCCTTGGCATTTTTACACCCATTCATTGTCCAATATATGTCACATAGGGCTCGAAGTCTATTTTTCCAATCCAGTCTATCCTGTTCAATCGCATCGATATCATAAATGGAATCGATTCCAGTAACTACGTAATCATTGCTGGTTTGTCACATTAAAATAATAGTTTCAAAGATGAACAATGTTAACGTGTATGTCGGCATAACAAGAAAAGTGTTAAAGCTTGTATTAAAGTAACCATAACTTCCATAGAAGATGCTAAAGTTTAAATTATATTAAATTAACAAAGGCTTCAATAGAGAACATTAAAGTATATTTTAAGGTATTTAGATTCAGTACAAAGTGTCACAGTATCTATCACAATAATAACTAATTGGATAGAGGGTGTTAAAGTGTATATTAAAATAACAACTGCATGGATAGAGATTGTTAAAGTGTATATTAAAGTAACAACTGCTTGGATAGAAAGTGTTAAAGTGTATATTACAGTAGCAACTGCTTGGACAGAGAGTGTTAAAGTGTATATTACAGTAGCAACTGCTATAGAAAGTGTTAAAATGTATATGAACTGTATATGAAATAACAACTGCTTGGGTAAAATGTGTTAAAGTGTGTATTAAAATAACAACTGCTTGGATAGAAAGTGTTAAAGTATATACTAAAAAAAAAACAGAGAGTGTTAAAATATATGTTAAAGTAACAAATATTGGAAAGAAAGCGTTAAAGTGTATATTAAAGTAAGAAATAGTTGGAAAGAAAGTATTAAAGTGTAAATTAAAGTAACAAATAGTTGGAAAGAAAAGGTTAAAGTGTACATTAAAGTAACGATTATTATAACGTATTAAATTCTTCTTCTTCTTCGCGTTCACCCGTTGTAAACTCCGGGGCAAGGTTTTGGTTGTTCGTCCACTTCTGGACTGCAGTCCTGCTTCAGAACCTGAAAGTTGCGTGTGCATCCGTTTGACAGATTTGACTCATTTATGCGCAGACTGTTGGTTCCTTGCCTCTCAGGTACATGCGCTCTGACTTCGAAAGAAACTCGCAATCAGTCGACTCCTACGACATACTGTTGGGCAGGCAGTGAGTCTATTCTTGTTTTCCCTATAATAGGGCCCCGGAACCCACACGGGGACGTATTAAATTGTCTAGTGAAGCCACAACTGAGTGACGTAATATAGTAAAAATAATCATCAGACACAATGTGCTCATATCCCAGTTGCCTTTTGGCACACGTAGATTTTTACTTATTGCGCTTTATTGTTAGGCTGGCTTACCGGGTATGGATACACTAGAGGAGAAAGCCATTTGGGAGTCATTCTTCTTCTTCTTTTTCTTTTCTTCTTCTTCTTCTTCTTCTTCTTCTTCTTCTTCTTCTTCTTCTTCTTCTTCTTCTTCTTCTTCTTCTTCTTCTTCTTCTTCTTCTTCTTCTTCTTCTTCTTCTTCTTCTGCTGCTGCTTCATGTTCACCGGCTGAAAACTCCAGCGGAATGTTCTACTGTTAATCGACGTCAAAACTTTAGCCTAGAATCTTAAGCGTATATCCGTTCTACAGACCTGGCTTACTTGTATGCAGACTGTTGACTCCTCACATCTCAGGCAGATGCGTTCCGATTTCGGAGGGAAAATCCATGATTAGTAATCTTTTACGTCATGTTTGTTAGGTAGGCAGTAGGTATACCCCCCCCCCCCCCCCCCTCCTCCTCCAACCGTCACGGGGACACTGATATCCAGTGATTATTACTTATGAGTGAACTCACTAATAAACACAAAAATGATTGAAGAACATAAATGAGCTTACCAATTTCCGTGAGCTGGCTGTGGCGATGCCGATCCTCCATGTTACGAGCTAAAGTGCTAGAATCATCTCTGATCATCCTGATTATCAAGTGATCTGTGGCAGACGTTTCCAGAAATTAGCCAGAGCTGATTTAATAAACCACGCAAAAACAATAAATATAGCCGTTTATCCAGTGCTGCCATTGGTTGACAATATGTCACCAACAAATTCAAGCTCCGCCCATCGCAGACTTCTTCCTAGGAATCGTTGGTGCGAAAGCAATCGGTACTGATCGATCAAGCAGCACTGGCACGTCCGTATCAATTAGATAACGAACACTTCACTAGATGTCAGCATCCTCGTGTGGCGAGCTAAGTTTGGATCAAGGACCGAAACCACTGTCGAAAACTAGATATCTGTCGGAAGTGAAGTGGAGGAAATTGGTCTGTAAGTAGGGAGTAGCAACTTGTGGTCAGCCCAATTCAAAGGGTATTAACTTGTGGTCACTTTAAGGTGGAGTGCAAGGGGTTAGCTTCGAGTGGTAGTGGCCTATGGCTCGTTCAATGGGTAGTAACTTGTGCTAAATTCGCGGGTCGTAAAATAAATATTCATGTATTCAGAGTGACTGCAACAGCTCTGTAACTGCGAGAACAAGTGGCCGGACTGAGAGTTCAAAATTAACACCAATCCCCCCACATAACACATGTGACATAATGGCAGACTATTGTACCCGCCCTTGACCAAAAATATTCAGTGGCAACGCCAGCGGAACGAAATAAACACCCAAGGTGTTGTAATTTTGTTGAAGAACAAAGCTGTGTAGAGTGGCTATTGTCGACTGTTCCCACACCTGCAGTGAGACGCATTGTCCGCTTCCTTCGTCTCACAAACAGAACTAAGGCTTTGTTTTCAAACACAGTTCTCGCTCGTATCGTGGTATCCCACACGTGCGGGCAGCATGCCTTGAAATCACCACTCGGGTGACAATGGAAGTCGACGGTGCTTTGGGAAAGTCACAAAAACGGTTGTGATTGTCGTGGGTGCGAATCAAGGCGGGCGGAGCAAGGGGTACAACAAAACATCAAAGAATGACTATGTTTAGGGTGATATATTGTTGCGTCTTAGGTGCTACTTTTATCTTCTTTAACTGGGGCGGGTGTGGTCAACATTGGAGAATAAATTTATGTTACACGCATTTATAACAACTATTTATTTATACATTTTTACGCGTGACAATAGTCACCTCTACCGATGTTTAAAAATAGAAATTAGGACGCATTCATATTCATATCTGATAAATATTTGTGGTGTGTGTGTGTGTGTGTGTGTGTGTGTGTGTGTGTGTATGTGTATGTATGTATGTATGTATGTATGTATGTATGTATGTATGTGTGTGTGTGTGTGTATGTATGTATGTATGTATGTATGTATGTATGTATGTATGTATGTATGTATGTATGTATGTATGTATGTATGTATGTATGTATGTATGTATGTATGTATGTATGTATGTATGTATGTATGTATGTATGTATGTATGTATGTATGTATGTATGTATGTATGTGTATGTATGTATGTATGTATGTATGTATGTATGTATGTATGTATGTATGTATGTATGTATGTATATGTATGTATATGTATGTATGTATGTATGTATGTATGTATGTATGTGGTATGTATGTATGTATGTATGTATGTATGTATGTATGTATGTATGTATGTATGTATGTATGTATGTATGTATGTATATGTATGTATGTATGTAAAAGTAGGTATGTATGTATGTATGTATGTATGTATGTATGTATGTATGTATGTATGTATGTATGTATGTATGTATGTATATATGTCATGTACACACACACCTATGTGTCTACTTCCCGTCCTGTTTATGTACGATGTATGTCTGTATTCTTCGTTGTATTTGTAAGTATGTACTTTGTATGTATTTTCCAGGGGTATGTATGTATGCATGTATATGTATGCCTGGCCATGTATGTATGTATGTATGTATGTCTGTATATGGCCTAATGTATGCAGAATGTATGCGTATGTATGTTTCTATGGGTATGTACCTCTCCACCTTGATCCTCATCCACATGTATGGCACCTGTGTCATCGGGTGTTTATGTATCGTATTGTGTATGTATGTCCTGTGGTGGGTATGTAGATGTATGTAGTCATGTCATGTATGTACACACATGTACACACTCTCATGTATGTATGTACTTTCATGTATGCGTGATATGAGACAGTTTATGTATGTATGTATGTACTATTTCTTACTCGAGGCGCCTGTTTAATGTATTGTAAAATTTTATCTACGGTATGTTATGTCCCTAACCTCAGTAAAAGTATGACTACTCATGTGTAAAAGATAGAAGAAAAAAAAAAAAACTTGTTGTATTGGTATGTATGTATGTATTTCGTTTCGCCCCTGTGAAGAGTATGTATGTCGCGGTATGTATCCCGTATGTATGTATGCGCCGCGGTGCACAGTTTGGAAATGTACGTATGTATGATTTATGTAGTATGTATAAGTGCAGTTGTACAGAAAAATATTTATTGTATGAATCTATATTTAGATAAACTTATTTAAAGCCTAGCTTCCTACAATTAAATCTATGTGTAAATATATGCAGCGCTGCCTAATGTCACTCAAAAATGCATTTGTGTAGGGGGCCGCGTTAGAGCAGTCGATTTGGCTCGGTACTGTGGATATCGCAACCCTTCGGCATTGATTCCATTATAGGTACCGTTAATCTGGGAGAAAATGTGGCTTTTCTGCCTACCCCTGGGAGTGAACCCGGACCACAAGGAGTTCGTCACCCGGCCGCCGCGAAAGTCAGGTTTAACCAACTTCGCTAGAGAGCCGGGCTAGAGCAGTCGATAAGAAGCTTGCTTTCAAATCCAGCTGCGACTCGCTGCAGCACACGGCAGGTGTTCGAAACCGGGCGGTTCCTGGAATTCACTCAGCCTCTAAGAAATGGGTACCAGAGTTGACACTCTAGGGTAAATGGAGGAACGTTGCTGTAGCTACAGAGTTACGTGCTGGTTCATATCTCCCGACTTTACCTTTTTTATGTGTGTGTGTTTGGTGTATGTGTGTGTACGTGTATGTTTGTGTGTTAAAAAAAAATTAAGTATCGATCACTTGTGAAAAATTTAAAGGGACAATAATTAGCCACCATAGAATAACAACATCAACAGCAGCAAAAGTAGAGACAAATAACTACCCCGCACCCACGATTGTTTGCCGAAGGATGCTTATCTCTTTGTTTTTTTTTTCTTTCCACTACTCCTGGAATGTCTCGCAGCGTCACGGGCAGGAAGAGATCTCTGGAGCGAGCCCTCCTGTTGGCTTCTTATAAAGAAAGTACTTTTCGATGTCTCCGATATTTCCAGTCCATATTTTGCGTTGTCGACCTCTTAACTGCTGCCGCTGTATCTGTATAACGTTGCTCTATGCAGTGCCCTGTCGGATGCCAATCTTGTTACATGGTCTAACTCCTTGATCTGTTGTCTACCTATCATCATCATCAAGTGCCTTGCCAGCAGGTGTAGGCGTTCATGCGTGGCCACAGAACTCGGTCTTTTGTGTTTTGGATCAATTCTACTGATGATATTCTTCCATGCCGCTGTCTCAAGCCACCCACCATCATTTTTCTTGGTCTGCCTCTGCCTCTTCTACCAGTTAATCTCCTTCTCACTGTTGTATATAATATTCTACTTTCATTGATCATTTCAGTTGTCAAACCTTCAGGCCCTTTTTGTCTCCAACCAGCACTGGGATTCCTGAATCTCTTGCTGTCAAACCTTTATTTCCTGTTGGTCTGCCACCAGCACTGGCATTCTTGAGTCTCTTGCTGTCAAACCTTTATTTCCTGTTGGTCTGCCACCAGCACTGGCATTCCTGAGTCTCTTGCTGTCAAACCTTCATTTCCTGTTGGTCTGCCACCAGCACTGGGATTCCTGAGTCTCTTGTTGTCAAACCTTCATTTCCTGTTGGTCTGCCACCAGCACTGGCATTCCTGAGTCTCTTGATGTCAAACCTTCATTTCCTGTTGGTCTCCCACCAGCACTGGCATTCTTGAGTCTCTTGCTGTCAAACCTTCATTTCCTGTTGGTCTGCCACCAGCACTGGCATTCCTGAGTCTCTTGCTGTCAAACCTTCATTTCCTGTTGGTCTGCCACCAGCACTGGCATTCTTGAGTCTCTTGCTGTCAAACCTTCATTTCCTGTTGGTCTGCCACCAGCACTGGCATTCCTGAGTCTCTTGCTGTCAAACCTTCATTTCCTGTTGGTCTGCCACCAGCACTGGCATTCTTGAGTCTCTTGCTGTCAAACCTTCATTTCCTGTTGGTCTGCCACCAGCACTGGCATTCTTGAGTCTCTTGTCAAAACTGTAGGCCCTGTTGGTCTGCCGCCAACACAAGGATTCTTTAGACTCTTGTTGCCAAACCTCCAGACCCTGTTGGTGTGTAGCTAGTACTAGAATTCTTTAGTCTCTTGTCAAACCTTCAGGACCTGTTGGTGTGTAGCTAGTACTAGAATTCTTTAGTCTCTTGTCAAACCTCCAGACCCTGTTGGTGTGTAGCTAGTACTAGAATTCTTTAGTCTCTTGTCAAACCTTCAGGACCTGTTGGTCTGCAACCAGCACAAGGACTCTTTAGTTTCTTGTCAAACCCTCAGGACCTGTTAGTCTGCAACCAGCACAAGGACTCTTTAGTTTCTTGTCAAACCTTCAGGACCTGTTGGTCTGCAACCAGCACAAGGACTCTTTAGTTTCTTGTCAATCCTTCAGGTCTTGTTGGTCTGTAACCAGCACAAGGATTCTTTAGTCTCTTGTCAAACCTTCAGGCCCTGTTGGCTCGCAACCTGCACCAGGGTTCATGAGACTATTGTTGTCAAACCTTCAGGCCCTGTTGGTCTGCAACCTGCACCTGGATTCTTTAATATCTTGTTAAACCTGTCAGGTAGCAGTCGGGAATGAAAGGCACGCGCGCACTCCAGACTTCTAGTCAGCTGGAGATATTATCTGTGCAGAAGAAGCATTTGCAAACATATACAATTCACGTTGATCAATAAATACAAACAAACGTAAATTTGAAATTAAATAAACCCAATCGTAGCTCAAATTAAAATTAAAATTTAACTAAATCATAGGTCAAATTCAGGTCAAACTATGATTCAGTTAGAGGTGAAACTAAAATGAACACACAGATCGACATATACAAAAATCAAAGCAAACTATAACTTAATAAGATAGGGGTTAAAATTAAATTAACAGACAATTCAGTTCTAGGTGGTGGATTACAGTAAGGAAAGCATAAACATTGTATAATAATCAAAAGTGTTTGGTCACTGAATGCATCAAAGTGCTGTGCCCATTTCTATCCCAGTACACTTTCAATATTGTTCTGCGGTATGTTTTATAATTTTGGGCGCCCGGCTCTCTAGCGTCGTTGGCTAAACCGGATTGCGCGGTGACCGGGTGACGAACTCCTTGTGGTCTGGGTTCACTCCCCGGGGTAGGCAGAAAAACCACATTTCTACCAGATTTACGGTATTTATCATCGAATCAAGGCCAAAGGTTGCGATATCCATA